GTATTTAAAACTAATAATTTATATAATTATATGATATATATTATTGTTTTATTCCTATATATCTTTATCCACTCCCTTAAATCCCCTTTTATCTCATTTGGCTAGCTAACAGAGAGGTAAATACATAAGAAATAAAGAAAATAAGGAAAAATAGAGGAGAGAAAAAAAAAAGAATATTAGGAATTGAAGTCATAGACGATTTTTCGTTAGCAATCTTGTTGAAAAAATTGTTTATTCTTGAGGTAGACTATCATTTACCCTACCTCTTGATTTCAATGATTTGCATATTTTTTTGTTTTATGATTTAATTTGGTTAAAATATACAAAATTGTGATATTTAATCTTAGCAAACTTTCACCCAAATATCATTTAATATGAGCATTTTGATTGGAATATATTAAATTTTTACCGATATTTTTTTAGTTTGGGGAAATATCCTAATTGATTAATTTGGATATAATTTAAGAATTGAGAAATAATTGTTAAAAATCCTTTTATATGCTTATTAACATGCAACTTTTTATAACATTGCTATGATAATACTGACAGACAATAAGTAATGACTTTTATATGAAAGTCACATGACCTAAATGGACTTGTAAATGAGATTGATTCCTGTAAGGTTGCCTACAGGACTAGATACAAGAAAAAAAAAAAATATCGTAATAATAATTATTGCATGTCTTATAGTGCTTGCATACGCTTATTGGTGTAGGAGTAAATATCGTATTATGTATATATCTGCTATATAAAAGTATGATTAATTTATTCGATTTTATTGATATTATTTTAATAATTATTAATAATTAGTATATTATATAATAAGATGATATAAGAGTATATGAAAGATATAAATCATTAATTATAAATTATAATAACTACATGATATATGAATATAGGATTCATATGGATTATCCAACATACATGATATACTACACTAGTATGTTACATTGCATTTGAATAAGACATGAGATACATACATAGCATCAACACTATATGACATGCATTTAACTATGATAAGTATATAGATTTCCAAAACCAAGATAGAGATAATTGTTCTTAACAAATTGGTATAGAAATGATAGAGTTTATTGACCTTTTATATATGTTCACTTGGTTATTAATCAATGCTCTAGTTATAGATGTTTATAGATTATATGTCATGTTACTTTTTCATTGATTATTACTTGTTTTATAATTAAATGTTCATACTGATAATGATTGAATAAACATCCATGCTATTCATATTGTCTTGCATTGATTTCAGTTGTAGGTTTTGGTAATCTACTGAGTTGTCAACTCACATGTGATTTTACATATTTTTAAGAAGGGGTTAGGATCCAGTGGAGGTATGACAACTTTGAGATTCAAGTTTTATTTTGTTTCTGCATTTTCTTTAGTTTTATTCTTTGATAGTCAAGAGCTAAAAGACAGGCTGATGAATAAACGGATTGACCTATTGGCTATTGTATATAAATTTTGGGGAATTAATATAATTTTATATTTTGATGTATATAATTTTTAATTTCTTTTGCTTGATTGATTTTTATTGATAGATTCATATAAGCTCAAATTGATTAAAGAAGATATTAAAATAGGAAGTTCTTCCGAAATTTGATTTTGGAACATTACATTTAGGGCCCCGGCCTCTCCCCATATATTTGATGAAAGTTTTAATGAATTATGTTTCAGGGGAAATTTTTGGAAGACAAATTAGATATAGATAAGATACTGCCTAGAGATTTTTTCCTTGTAATGATGACTTTTAAGATATGAGTTTTGAATTTTTATAGGTGCATGCCCTTATAGTTAATTACCCCTCTCAATAATGAGAGAGCACTTTCTATTAAGGCTAGCCACTAAATAGATATTAAATACTTGATATATAGTATCACCGACAGATTTAGATGTTTTAGATAATATTTAATATTCAAAATTCACCACCTTACACTTAAAATGGATGGTGAAGAGAATGATGATGAACCTTATTAACATCTCATGGTTCTATAATCCAAGGTCATCATGATCCCTAGTCTATTTAGTTAGTGAAGATAGTTGATCCAACTTTATCGAAGAATCCTTATCAACAATCATGCATTTCTTCGTACAATGATATCTTGTAGACTTTGAGTGAATATTTGTTTATGGGATGAATTCAAATCAACCTTAGCTAATAGAAGGCTTGTGCCCTATTAATTATACCATATGATTCATTACTTATGGGCATTAGTCATTGGGGAACATACAAGCTTTTAGCTATGATTATAATATAGATGAGTCATTCGACAAAGCCACCAGGTCAAAGGGCCACAATCATAATTTATTTCCACGTGGAGCCATTCTGGCCAAGCCGGTTCTTTGTGGAGTTATCTATCCAAGCCACCGATTAAAGGATTATTCATAACTATTTGTCTCGTAGAGCTGTTTGACCAAACTATGAATTCTATGGAGCCATTTGACTAAGCCACCAGTTAGAGGAAAAATGTAGTGTCATTACTGACAAAAAAATATTTGAAATGAATCTTAGTGATTTTCTCGATTTGGTATTCATTCTTTGTGAAATAGAGTTATTCTTGAGTTAATCATCCTGGTTAAATGGTTGTAGAGGGTGGATGTGTTTTGTTTTAAGTTATTAGATGATTAATTTTAATTTTAAATATTAATTTTTTTATATAGATATTAAGTTTTAGGATTCTAGTAGAATTTAAAAATTAACCATTCCGATTAAATTAGCTTTCAACAATTCATCATCAATGTAATGTTAAAGTTACTTGAAAATATTTATATTTTATTAGTATTGAGGGGCATTTAAAAGGTAGAGTTACATACGATTGAGATTCATCTTCTACACGATCATCATCGGGGATTTAAATAATTGGTTATTTGAATGTTTTCAATTCTATTCATTCGTTAACAGATAATCTAGTTCAATTATTGACCTTGTTAGTTATCATATGAACGCCAATAACTGAGATATTTTGTTTCTACGATGAGTTTCATTTAAAGAGTCTTTGAAGGCCTAATATGAACTTTAAAATAAAATCTTCCTATGAATTTGCAATTTGGCATTCACTTATTAATTCAACTTGTATCTACTCTAGTCCTTTCAAGGAGGAGAATTAGACTTCAAAATTTTACTCGCACATCGTTCTCAAACAATATGTTTAGGTGTTAAATGAGATGGTTGGAGCACATGCAGGTAATCAGTTTAAATAGAATCTTACATTAACGAGCTTTAAACCCCATGCAACATTCTCTTACATCGATGTTTGCAAGTTTAGCATATTAGTCGGAACACTTGCGGGTAATTAGTTTGAAAATAAAATCTTAATGAGCTTTAAACCTTATGTAGTATTCTCAGATATTTATGTTGTATATTTAGCACATTTATCAAAGTGGATGGAGAGAACTAAAATTTATCTTTAAATGATGTGCACCCTTTTTGATGCATTTGCACTAAACACTTACATGTTTTTTAGTGCACTTGCATGATACGTACACATGCATTCAATACGTCACATAGTTTTCAATGATAACGTTTTCAATGTGTTATCATGATATACTTGCATATATTTTAATGAATTTTCATAATGTGTTTACACCCTTTCAATTATTTGCACACATTTCAATGTCTCCACACATTTCTCAAGACATGCTTTGCTAGCTTGTTGCATACTTTCGAGACAATGACACGCTTCCCAAAAAGATAGCACACTTCTCAAAGCAATCGCATGCTCGCCTCAAGGCTACTACACAGTTCTCAAGGCAATGACATGCTTTTTAAGGCCGTGCCCTTATGATTAGAAAATTATATTTTAATTCATGAGGGAGATTTAAAAATATTTAAATGTGATGCTTTGCATAAGTGACTTATTAAATGCATGTAAAATTCTATTTAAAATTCAAGAAACATCTTTTGTCTGCTTGTATGAGTGTTACAGATCTAATGACATAAGAAAGCACATTAGATTTCTTCTAACTACAAATAAGAGAGATGTTTAGTTCCTTTAGCCCATTTAAGTTTAAATTTAACATTGTTTATAACGTTTATACATTAAATTGAAATTATAAATTTTAGTGCTTCTCGTGGGATAATTATCTTATCCATTATGAGTTCCCCTGTTCTCACCTACATGCAAGTTGATTTGTTTGATACGAGCTCCTTGTCCTTGCCCATAGGCAAATTATTGTGTGCACTACAAATTCTATGCTGAGCTCATAGATGAATTGTAGCATGTATTATAAGTTTCCAGTCTTCACCAACAGATGGACTTTTGTGTACATTAAGGATCCCTTGTTAATGCCCATAGGTAGTATTGCATATAGGCAAGTAGTGATCATTTGAAGTATATTGGTGATACTTGTACGTAGGTTGCTATATGCATTAATAGTCCTTTATTGTTGCCAAGGAGTGTAAAGGAATCAAATCAATCCAAGCTCATTTGATTTATACTTAACTCAAGCTCATTTGCTAAGCCCAAATGAAAAATATAAGGCTCAATCACAACTCAAATGCTTAATTTTTTATTTTAAATATGGAGAAAAAACAATCAATTAGTCTAATATAAATACCAATACATTCATTAATATTAATAGAGTTGTCTCGACAAGCTAATGAGCCGAACGAGCCAAGCTTGAGCTCGAACTCACATAATACATGAGCTTGAATTTATACTCATGCCTCTATAAGCTTGACTCGCTAGCAAGTTGAGCATGAGCTGGCTCACGAGCCAACTGACTCACTTACAGTCCTACGTTGGTCTCAACATTAGAGTCTAAGCCAAACCCCATGTGTATTCAGATGATTCAAATTCAAACCATTAAACTCATAAACAAATGCTATAAAATTTAGGAGAAAAAAAAAACTTCAACAAATCTTTTTCATTCCATTGTTTTTATGCCCAAATTCATTATTTTATGCACAAAAACAATCCTTTTTGCAGAACAAATCTCACAGAAGTAATTCCTAATTCAGAAAAATACTCATCTATCCAGTAAAATAAGAGCCAAAAAACAAAGCACACTAGCCAATAAATTCCTAACAAATATCTTGTCAAGCCATAGAGCTTGCTATAAACTGTACATTGAAGAAAAATCTTATGATCTCATTCCACAACATTTTGAACTTTTTGTTACTGACTACTTCACACTCTGAATATTAAAACCCTCCAAAAGAACTGAATTTAAATGCCACATCCATCATCACTAACCACTTCCTTTAGCTATTTTGTCTCTTAATAATCAAACAGTTCAGGAAAATGGCAGAGAAAATGGGGGAAAAAATTGTGTAGGATAATATCCTGATAATGTTTTAGTCAAGATGAACTTTGAAAGCATTGAATTTGCTTTAAGATTAGCGCTGCACAAACAAAATTTATATGGCACTCATCTCAAAGTAAATCGAACAATTTTCGGGCCCAATTTGACCAAAAATTATATCAGAATATTCTTAGCAACTTTTATCCAGTAAAAGAATCAAGAATAAACATGGCGGCGAAGAAAAAAATTATGGAACCTTGACGCCGCTGGGACGCTTGCCTTCCATGGCATCCTTCTTGATTCGACAATCGGCGCAGAGGAAAGGACCTTCCCATGGCCTTGAGCTAGTGGAAAATATGGAACCAGCATGAACTGATATGCCTTCACAAGGAGCAAGGTCCAATTGGCAAATAGCACATTTGAAGAGAGTAGAATATATTTGTGATGATGAAGATTGATGTCCTAACCTGGCCAATGCATTCAGATAACCATCCATCAGTGATTAAAAAGAAAAAAAGAAGAAGAATTCCTTCTTTCCTCTAAGCTCTCAAAATCATATGGAACAATAAGATGATAGTTTTGAAAGAAATTGAGCTGCAATTATGATGATGTATGGCCCGCAATCCATGGAAGTCAATTATTAAGTAAAGTCAGAAGATTGTATTGTCTTCATCCAATGTCTAGTCTAGACTTTGAATAGGGCGTGCGTGCACGCATATATATATATATAGAGAGAGAGAGAGAGAGAGAGAGAGAGAGAGAGACTTCTCCTCTCTAAGGAGAATGATTATTCTCCTACCAATTTTATTGTTGCAACTGTTGCCTTACTATCTTGAAATTAAGAAGATATCAATGATTGTGATTTCCAACATGAAAATTACTAGCGGATCAAGTTCCATCAATTTAGGGTTGTTTGTGTGGAAGAATTTGGAATTCATTGTAGCTTTAAATACAATGTAAAACAAATATATATATTGTAGAAATGTATAAGTTGTCTAGTTGAAATCAAATCAAACGCAATGAATTATTTCTTAGTTAGTTATGATGCATTTGAATGAGATTTTAACTCTTAATAGGACATGATAGAAAAAAAAAAATTATGTAGTCAACCCCACGTAGTGGGATAAAGGCATGTTGTTGTTGTTATGATGCATTTCAAATACAAGTATTTTAAAAATATGACGGGCGGCTGCTGGGGATCATAGACAGTGAGGGTGATGGACATAGGTAGGCAACCGATGGTAGTAGCGGGGGCTAGGGGTGACGTGACAATGGAAAATGGCTAGCGTATGTGAGAATGGTGATGTGGTGTATTCGGAAATTACCCAAATTAGGTAATCTTTGAATATACAAAAAATGAACTAAAATGTGAATTTCAAACGCATCAACAAATTAAGTTGAATTTATTTTTCACCTAACTAAACATCTAAAAATTTAAAATCCTTGCATTCCTTTTACTCTAAACTCAAATTACTTTAAATCAAACAATCCCATAGGTAATAATAAAAGCATTATTCAAGCATGTAAAAAAATAAAGATTAGAAGAAAAATAAAGGAAGGAATTCTTAAAAGTCTAGTTTTATCAATGCATTTCACCAATAAAAGCATGACAATATGGCATCATAATAACCCACTATTTAATTCAGAGCTAATTGAAAATCTATACTTTGAAATCACAATTATATTCTAATATGATAGGAATCATTCATTCTCAAAATTTGATACATATGACTGACAATCAAACAATTCTAAAGTCTTGAAATCCTGCATACCACTAGTTATAAAGCTGTTAAATAGCAATCATTTTTTTTTTATTAAATCTAAAAAAGAATTTGACTCTTAACAGATTAGAATGGAGAAAAAATTATTTCACTTTTCACTCTTCCGCTCATATAAATCAGCCAAACAAGGAGCCAGAAGTATTTAGAACAAGATGAGCTAGGAAAATTGCCGGGCAGAAAGAGTATGTCGGCCACAACAAACAAACGAAAAATGTGTGCTGCAGCAAGAGAACGGCAATGCACATGACAAGCGAAGCGAAATGGAAATGATAGCCATGAAAGGAAGATATGCAAATTTGTAGAAAAACATTCTTCAGGAATGGTGTCCATGGCTGGGAGCATATATAAATGCAAAGGGAGAGAAGAAAACAGTATGGTAGAGCAGAGCTGATGGTGCTAGTAATTTTGGATCGATTCATTTTGGATCACTTGGACATTTTCATTTCTGTCAGGATTACGTGAATAATTTACTGTTAAGTTTTCTAGTTTATTATTAAGGAATGAAATCTATAAATAGGGGTTTTAGGGATTATTCAGCATATCATGATTTTGATTATTAGTGCATGAAGAAAATCAACTGGCCATAAATCGAATGTCTATGATAAAAAATGTGACTTTAATATTCTTACGGGGTAATATGCCCTTCAAATTCTATTCTGAAAATTAATTTTGTTTTTGTTTGAATCCATCTTCACAAATATATCTATCTTTATATTTATTATCTCATTATCTTTGTATTCATGTAGTTTACACTTCCCATTGTCTCAATCCATAAAAATCCTCACCCTGCTTTCCTTAAATCAAGAGGATTTTAGAGGGAGAGAACAAGAGTAGAGTTATTTTTCATTATATTCATACAATTAGTTTAATGTAATTGCAAATATATGATTAACACATGCATCTGAGTTATTATGTACAGAGAGCTGATAGAAGTTAAATATTTCAAGTGAGCTACATAACATGTAGACACATCAATGGATTGAGCTTCTAGGAAGCTCAACACAAATAATGATCTGATTAAGTCCTTAACATAATTATAAATCTAGTTCACTGACCATATAAAATTTCTAAACATCATTAACTAAACTATATCTTCCCTCCGAACGCAATCCTTTGTCTCCCACAAAACAAACGCAAGCTGCCACTCAAACTCCAAACCCCTTAGTTTCCTTTCCAGCTGTAACTGTCTATTGCTCACCTCCATTGCTCCTGTCCAATGTCGACAGGTTACCCATTATCCCTCCCGCACCTTCGTGGGTAAAAACTTTTTCTACGCCGTATTGTCTCTCCAATCAAAGCCTGCTAAACAGATAAGTTTTATGTGCTATTTACATTTGTCCGGTCTTCCCCCATCCCCAATTTCTTCCACTTAGTATCCTAGATTCTCCAATTGTTGAGCAAAATATTTTGAATACACATTTGCCTCATAAATTTTCATATTTGCGACTTAAATTTTCAAATGATGGGCAGGTCACAAAATGTATTAAGTTAATATATAATACACACATTAATCTTATAGGAATATTAATACTTGCTGTTAAAATAATTGGAAAAGAAGATTAATGATGATCTTTCCCGGCAAAATATGAATCCATGGTGTTCGCATGGAGTGAATAACACCCTAAACTTTTCAAACAGAAATGTGAAACGTAATATAGCCTTGCTCTTATTCAAAAAATTAATATGGTTTGTTAGATAAATAGCTAAGAGTTGTTGGCTCAAGGAAACCCACCTATTGTCAAGTATTATCTGCTTTGGCACATCATGTATTAGGCTAATCCAATAGTTTTACCTTTCTTCATATGATGTACCACGAAGTCATTTAAGAGTTCTATATAGAGTTCTATATCATGAGCATGATTAATGATGAAGTTCTCAATAAAATTTCACCTATTACACGAAGAGACGTCACATATTTAGATCTAAACTTACTAATATAGCCTGATAACATTTTCTTCCTTTTTGATGTAGAACTTAGTTCATTCTTGCCCCTTCTTTTCTCTTAAAAGCATGTCAAGAGCTATTCCTTGCATGAACTTATGCCTTAAAAATCACCCCCACCCTCTCATCGAATTCGGGATGTCACAAACAGCTTTTACTTGGTTTGTCTCAAAAAAACAAATCATAATAGAGGAAGTCTAGCTGTGATACTAATTGTAACAACCCAACTCACATTATGTGAAGTAAGTCTTTTTTGGCCCAGACTATCCCATGCTAGGTTGAGCCTTACAACTTTACCCTTCTTACTGAAACTTACAAGTTATCCATCACAGGAGTACTCAATCACGATGTGGCCATCAAGTTCATAATCAAACTCTACCCAGTTGCACCAAAAGACACATCACATATTTGAGTGTAACATTTTATTGAATAATCTCCTCACCCTTCCCAATGTGGATTTAACTTATAATGCATCTTTTTCCCTCAGAACATGACATCTTAGAAATCTACCAAAAGTACCTTTTCAAGATTGTCCCCCAATGATCACTCCTTGCCCCTTCAAAACATCCCCTTCAGATTTAGGATGTTAAAAAAAAAAAAAAAGAGAATTAAACAATTGAAACTAGCCTTGATTTAGATATAAAACATAACATGCTAAAGATACATCCCATGATCCAATCATAGCTAGCTTCACATTACATATTTAGTTCTACGCTCTTTCTTTGACAGGAAAAGAAGAATACAAGCCCAAAGAACCTTCTAAATGAGAGCATGCACGAGAATACTAATGCAAAAGGCCACCCATATCCATACAGTTAAAAGCATAACATAAGCACATGCTAGAACTACTGGTATATGTAACTAAAATCAAAAGACTTATTGTCACCCTTCTTACTGGAATAAAATAATAGCTCAAAAATTTTCAGGATTCAACATTATTGATAAAGAGGATCTAACATACCAAGCCAATTAAATTGTGTCCTCACCCAACACCCAATCTAGACCTTTTATCTTAACTTCTTCTAGGATAAACACAAACTTATTTAGCACTGAGGAGAATGATTATTCTCCTTCAAATTTTATTTTAACATTCTGCCTTAATATCTTAAAATGTAAGATCACATTGTTGATTGAAATTTGCAGAATGAGATTTATCAATGGATCAAGTTTCATCAAATATAATCATTGATCAAGCATGAAAAAATATAAGACTAGAACAAAAATAATGGACATCCCTACAACCAGTTGATCCATGTTGGAATGAGAGCACGCTTGAGACAACAGTGTCCAAGCAAGGATTATTAATGTTGTTATAATAGCACAAAAGTTTAATTAGAAAGTGTTGAGCTAGAATTTAGCTGACTTGATTCATAAGTTCTTGAATACTTTGATTATCTGTTTGAATGGTAAACGTAAATCCAATAAAAGTTGGATACTAACAAGCCACTAATTTGGAAATTTAAAATATCTTGCAAACATACGTTGAAGTTTGCTGCATTTTCTATCAAGCTTTTTATTGTTTGCATCGGGAGAAATACCATGCCAATGCCTACCCCAGAGGTATTCATATTGATAGTGAATCATTTGGAGAAATTTGGTTAAGTCAAAACTAATGAGGTAGACAGCACATACTTTAGTTGGTTGAAGGCATTAGTTGCAGAATTGATCCACTCATGCATTTTTATGGTATTTAGGGGACAGCAATCTGAGCAAAATATTTTACAAACCTGTGGTAGTAGCCAGCGAGTCAAAGAAACCCTTAGAGTAGCTTTTAGTTTTGAGGTTATGGACATTTTAGGATGGCAGAGATCATCTCCAGTTGCAGATGGAAGAAGCCTAAAACGTCCTTGATGTGACCCAAATAGTCAATGCATGATTAGTCGAGCAACCACTTTGATTGTTTGAGATATTGGTTGTTACCGACAAGATGGTGAAGGATGAGATTGAAGTGTTCAATGTGAACTGCTAGAGATAAGCTATACAAGTATATCATCAAATAAAACAAGAACAAATTGATGTAGATATGGCTTTAATATTGTATTCATAATATTTTGGAATGTGGTCGGCATGTTTATATGATCAAAGGGCATAACGACAAATTCATGGTAAACTTCGTGCACTCGAAAACCTACCTTTCTGAGTTGTTATGCCATTTGGATTGGGTGATAGTCGGAGCAGAGGTCCAACTTGGAAAAATATTTGCGTTGAGAGTTGGTAAGAGTAATTCATTCACGATGAGGATAGGAAAATCACTCGAGATTTGGTGATAGCCGGAGCCATTCGAAAAATGATTCGGGATGTTACCCTATTTCAAGGCATTGTAGTCAACACAAAAAAAAACAAGTGTCGTCTCTCTTTTTAACTAAAAGAATGGGAGAAGAAAAATGGGTTGTAGTTGGGCGGATAAACTGTTGGGGCCAAATCATAATTTTGATAGTAAATTTTTGGAAATGTGGATAGTGGCTCATTTTATATTAATTCGTGATGTTCCCAATTTAAAAAAAAAATGGTGATCTTCTGAATAGGATGGGGGTAAATGATTAGAGTTTTAGAAGAATGAAAAAGGTTTGAAGAAATTATATTATAGGCAAGGGTGAGAAATGGTTGTTTGCGTGTTTTAGTAGGTTAGTTTGGCATATTTGTGAGATAGCATAAGGATGGAATATAAGACAAGGCTTGCAATTTTATGAAGTGGTGGAATTGAATTTGTTTGATAAAAAGTGTGTGAATACCTCAAAATTTAATGGTGTTGTTCTGCCAAGTGAAATTTCATAGAAAAGGTATTATAATTTGTTGTGTTGTTGCCTAAGAGTTATAGTCATTGCAATCCCAAAAAGATTTCAGCACCTTGAATTGGCAAAATAAAAAAGTCAACGACCATGGATGATGTAACATGAGTGAGATATCCAAACACTTGTGTTGGCTAAGTAATGTGGTTTTGTTAACAAATAAACAACTAATATGTGTAATGGTTGGTGGGTAAATGCAAATATTCCATCAAACATTGTTGTACAAAATTATGCATGGAGTCAACATTGATGAGGATTTACACGCCATTATTCTATAGTTGTCTTTGGATACGCAAGGTGTTAAGTAGAGGTTGTTTAGCCAATGCATTGAGTATGATAGTGGGGCAAGACTCGGTATGGATTTCGAAGGTAGTTGCATAGGATGTTGGGTTGGTTTCCTCAGTAGTTTGGTTGAACCTTTGGTTGTCTTCATTAGAGTAAACATTTGATAGTTACATAAATGATCAATTGGTGATTTTTTCATTGCAATTATAGTATACTCCTTTCTCCCATCCAGCCAATACTTTGGTGGTTGATAATCTGTGAATTAGAACAATAATAATAGTGTAGATGATGGAGAAGGTACGAATTTCAGAGGGTTTGGAGTACAGCCCAAGATGGACGGGTCATCAATTCATCATTTATCTTGTCCTCAATTAGCTTTACGAGTTTGATTGCTTGGTCCAATAATGTAAGGCGATGAAAGCGCACTTCTTTACAAACATCAGTGTTGAGGCCATATTCAAAATAGTTCTATAAAAAATGTCTGTCAACACAAATAATTTGGTTGGGGTTTATTTAAATTAGAGTTGATATTCCTCCAAAATAGATGTTTGGATTAGGTTTGCTAATTCACCCTACATGTTGAGATAGTTTGATGGGACCAAACAGTTGTAGAGATAGTGATGAATGCTTGCCAAGGCTATAATATGTTGGTTTTAGAGAGCCAATGAATCCATTTTCGATGACACCATCAAGTTGGAATGAGGTCACTATTAACTTATCATCCTCCAACACTTTGGGGTAGGAATGCTATTGTTCTATATTTAGAATCGATGGCTCGAGGTTTCCAGTAGAGAAATGGGGAATATATTTGTGCATTGTCTTAAATAGATTTCTTCCCATAATATCTTTGAGCATTATTGCTATAGTAAGTGACACCTATGAGGTTTCCATGCAAAGTGAGGATGGTGTAGACTGTTCACCTCCAGCATTGTGAGCGGCTATTTCACTTCGTGCATCAATTCTACTAGGTCTGGACTTGTTATTCCATCAAGGACTTGACGTTGATGATTCTCTCTAGAGCATGTGCTACCCCCATGTTGTCAAATGGTGGATGCAAGGATTTCATATTGTGGTTTTGTGGAGGCTTAACAATAACACAAAATTGTTAGACCTTTTTTTTGTGAAACAGAGATGAAAATAATGACAACTTCAAGCCTTAGGAGAGAGCTCCATGAAGGGAGAGAGAAGAGAAAAAGAAAAGAACTTGAGAGGAAAAATAACATGGGAATCAAGAAGAACTTTCTAAATGTCCTCATTCATATAGCCATCATATCCACATTTCTCTAGGTAAGTTTTAATAAAAAAATATAATTAGGATAAGACATACACCTCACTTTAACGACATGAGGCACGCGTCAAGACAAGCCTCAGCCACAATGAGGCGCAAGCCTCATTAAAAATGCTTGAGGCGTAAGACTTGAGGCATTTTTCACCATAATTGCATAGAGGTCACCTCATATTATGCAATTTTAAACAATGCTCAAGAGGCGAGAGGCTTGGTAATGCCTTGAAAAAAGAGTTGGTTATACCTTAGAAAACTGGTAATGCCTTGAATGCATAATAAGAATTTTTTGTTTAAAATACTTTAAAAATTAGCATCTAAATCGACAATGCTAATAACTCATGCCTCAACTTCCATGTTGGACAATTTTGTAGCTCAAAAGAGTAATTGAAACTTTATTTTTAATAAATGTGCACTAACCATTGGATATATCAACAATATTGCAGGCCATTTTATATGCTGCAGAAAAACGGACAACATAAAACATAACAAATAAATTAACTAGAATAAGATTTTTTCCATAAGCCTACTTCAATCTATCAATACAGAAAAAATGCAAGAAGTATAATCTAGAAAAAAATCCATATAATGAAACTTTAATGACCCAAAATTCATAAAAACTTACCTCTCAGCCAGCATAGCTGAACCTTCTTCAAATAATTCTTCTACTATACCAACAGCAGACAATTTCTTCGCCAGCTTACTAGTAGAATCTCGTGACTTTTTCCTGAAACCTAGACACTTAAGTTTGTTCAAATCTTTAGGCGGTGATGGAGGCTCTTCTATGAAATCATTAGGTGGAATCACATCAACAACAATGCATGTTGTGTCATCTTTCAGCCCCCTTGACCTCAGTGCTTCCTAAATGATAATTGAGAAAGTTGATGAAAGTATAAATATGATAATTATCTAAAGCAACAGTAGTTTTCCAACAAATCAATCAAACAAAATTTCTGGCCTTTGAAGCAGTTCAGTCACAAAACAACAGTACGTGAATTAAAATAGTAAGAGCAACCTTCACAACTTGTCGAGCCGCAAGCTCTGCAGTTAACCCACGACAACATTTTGCAGCTATCTCAGATGGTAATGCATCCCAAATGCCATCTGAAGCAATTATTAACCTTCCCCCAGTTTTCGATAACTGAAGCAAAATGAGTCATATCAGTCAAAAAGCGCATAGTTGCTTCTCTTTTTCTATTCAACAAATAACACAAATCCAACCACAGATTCATAAAACATTTTGGTATGTGCCGCTCACTGAAAAAAAAAAATCTGGGGGAGAATTATTCATCTTAAAAAGTAAGAATTTTGATGAAGAATAGATCTAAAGTATGAAGCCTGTGATTTTGAAAAAAAAAAAAAAACATAAAAAAGACTGACGTTCACAAAAAAAAAAAAAAAAAAAAAAAAAAAAAAAAAAAAAAAAAAAGATACCTTTACTTGCTTAACATGTGGTATAGGAACTATAAACTCCCCTACATCCATATCTCCAATTGACCTGGAAAGGCACAACCCACCAGGCCAGCATCTGAGGGGGCCAATCTGTGAACAGAGATAAGTTGCAGTTAAACACACCATTTATAAAAAAAAGTGGGATTTATATACATATAACATTCTAATTTACATATTTAACACATACAATCTCCTATTTGTCGAGCTCACTATATTAAATTTCACATCACAATATCTCCTTTCTAGCCTTCACTCTTGTTCACTCCTAGCCAAAATCCTGAAATCCTCATCGATGAATACGAGGTAAGACGATTGCAAAAGAATCTTATTGGAGGAACGGAAGGGACTGAAAGCATGTAAAGGACCCTTGACAACGAAGAAGAGGTGATGAATCGTGCTGTGATCTAGCTAGGGAAGGGAATCAACTAGACCTTTACTATGTAAAGGAGAAGAGAAGTTCTCCATGACAGCTCCTTGTGATGGAAGTTAATGTTGAGGAAGGGAAAGATAATATTTTTTATGTTAATTAAATAATTGAATGTTATATGACTAAATATGAAGTTTTGGGTGTTAAATACATAAATAGAATAATTATAAGTGGTACATATGTAAGTCCCACGCACTAAAAGGAAATAATCCACAGATGAACTAATTTCATAAGCCGATTACAACATCTAAAAAGCTTTCAGTAATATAAACCCACCTCAGCACCACCGACAATACTGAGCCTTCCTACCTCACCTCCACTGGCAGTCACTCTCTCCCTCCTGCCCATGAAAGATAAAGCAATTCAGTTGACAAACAAAATCAAACTAAATTGATAACGACATAAATCAAATCAATACCCACTCTTCAGCATTTTCTTCTAGTCTATGATCAACAGTAAGAAGGGAAACATCTCCTCCCTGTGCATCCAGAATGCAACGAGAGTCGCCAACCGAAGCAACAGTAATAGTCCATCCATCAATTATGACAAATGTTGCAGTAGTCCCAGAAGTTTGCCCTAATAGCCACAAGCACACTCAGCATAAGAGCACCAAAATAAAAGAAAAAAAAAATCAAGATTTCATATCCTAACAGCAAGCATAAAAAAATAAATCTACTGAAAAAAAAACTAACCTTTGCTCTGGAACTCTTTGTCAGTCTTCACAAACCCTGCAACCAAAGCGCGTGGAAGAGCATGAAGCCACTCCTCCCTTCCGAGCCCTCGAGGAATAGCGCCAATTATGTGGTTCAGTAAATTGTCCCTTGCGAAAATTGCAGCAGCATTACCATTGTGCCCGTCAAAGATCTGCAACTCCTTCACATAAGTTTCTTTCGAATAGAAAAGCTGAAAACACTTAAAATATCTTTCAAGGACTAACAATCCCATGCCCAAATCTGAAAAACCCTAGTAATTGAATTAAAATCTATACATGAATATACATATAGGCCAATCTGGCACAGTCTCCTGGCAAACAATCTATTTTTGAATCCCGTAGAAATGGCTATGTCAACAGCATCAATCAGAATCGCAGTCTTACCGCAAAGACGCAAAAGGTGGAGGAAGGATTCCCAGGTAGTCTCTGACAGTCGGTCTTCACTAAAAAGTAGTCTTCCCCCTTCTTTGACTGTGCAGCGCAGCCAAAGCGCACCAGCGTCTTCTCCGGCTTCTCTCTCTTCAACTCCCGGCGTATTAGTGCCGCAAGGGGAACCATTTCGTGTTCACGACGCCTCCCCCCGTCGCCGACATCGCCAGCCGCCATCTCTGCTGTGTTTTCAAGGAGATCTACGCCCTCCAATAGGCCGCCGTCACGATAAGCCGGCGCCGCCTTGGCATCCCTAGATGTGCGGGGAGAGGAGAGAGAGGGAGAGAAGCCGGGCGGAGAAAAATAGGTGAGACTTTCAGATCTGAGAAGAGAGCAGAAGAGATAGGAAAGAGGTAGAGAGAGATTGACAGCCCAAAGACGCGGTTTTCAGCGGAAACACTGATGAACTGTTCCGCCAATCAGCACCAACAAATACAATTATACTAATAGTATTTTTTATACACTCACCGGTCACCGCATACCGCGCGGTCCCCACATTCCGATACATCTAGCTAAAATATAGGACAGTTTAACGACAGTTTAATTGAGCCAGCGAAATATCCAAAATAAATTTTATTAAAGCTTCGTTACGAACGACTGCTGAGTTTTTTTAAATGCAATATAAAAAAAATCATATTAAGGTTTTATTTTAACAGAAAATTATGAAAATGCAATAATTTAAAATAATTAAATTTACTTTTAAATAAGTTATTTATATTTTTTTTGGCTGTCATAATATAAGAGCATATGTGATATAAAATGATCTATTAAAGAAATAAATAAACTATTGGAGAATTTCTTGTTTTATTTTATTTTTTTACATAATTAAAATTTATTATTTTTATAAATATTGTGCATGAAATCATAAATTCATTATTATTATTTTGATAATTAGGTCAATCAAGATAGACTCACACACAAAGTGGCGGAGCCAGAAACTGGAGCCTAAACCTTTTACAGCGAGAGCACAAATATATTATTTAATTTTTTTTTTTCAACTTTTTCATTCAGTCTGAACCGACATTGATAGTTTATAAATTTATTTTGAATTAATTATTTAAAAAAATATTAGTTACAAGATAAAATAAAACTCATTTTCATTTTAACTCATTAAGCGGCATGAAATGTGGCAAATTATTTTGAATTTATTATTTTGATGGGGCATTTAACCGAACAGCTGGAGTGCATTGATCTGGAGAAGTTGTTAACTACTAAAACATATATAAATGACTAAACTAGTGAAAATAAAGCCTTGGGTAGGTTAGGCAATGAAATGGAGAACAAATGATGCACTAATAAGCGAGCAAGTGGAATTAGCAATAACCTATTAGTAAGAATAATTAGTATTCCATAAGTATCATATCTAAGATTGTCTGAAGATTTGCGCAGTAACACCATGTCTAGCATAATTAAGAATAATTAGAACTATAATTTAAATTGAAAACTTCCATAGTTAAATTAAGAATAATTAGAACTATAATTCCAGTAAATTTATAGCTAAATTGAACGATTTATTGAGGCAAACCTTTTTTATTTTTTATTTTTATTGAGGCAAACCTAGAATGCTCTGATTCCCCTACAAATAAGCATAGATTGAGCAATTAAAGCATAGTTATTAACCTCATGATATTAATTCCATTGTCAAATTGAACGTCTCAATAAAAAGAATCTAATAAACCCAATATCATGCAATTCCATTGTCATTAAATTACTTAAATGCTGAAAGATTTATTTGTAATTAAAAGTTCCAATACAAGTCATTTGATGAAGTATTCCGAATTTTGACTTTTTATATGGGGCATGCCATCCTTAAAATCTATAAATAGTCTTACACTCTTTATATAAAAAGGACTCTTAGCATGAGATTCTCATGAGCTCAAAGGCTAGAAGAGTCCCAACAATCTACTTAAGCACCACTGTCAGACCAATACTTGACTGTTGCTGTCAGACAACCTCCATCGAACCACCACCTGATCGCCATCGTCAGACCTCCTGTCACGCTCCAAAATCTAAATTAGAAGAATTGTCTATTTTATATTTTTAACTCTTTATCAAATTATTTATAAATCATCAATATGAATCAATCTATCATGCAAAAGCCAATGAATATCATACATAAGAGAATATTTCACTATATTCATTCACCAAAATCATATTTATAATAGCAAGAAGATCACTTGTAATAGCTCATACTTTGACCCAATCAAATAATTATTAAAAATCATTAAGTCAAATTTGCAAATCATATTCCCGATAATATAGATATTAATATGCTTTAATTATAATAATTTTCTCTTGATTTTAGGGGCAGTGTAAAAAATTAAAATCTATTGATATAATTAGGATTTTTGTGATTGTTAGCTGTTTATTTTGCAAATCGATTTCACCAATATCTTTTAAGCATGTTGTGTTTATTTACGAATAATTTTCTATAATTTTTATAACATTGATATTTAAGATAGAAAAGTATTTGTATTAATTTTTATGTTAAAAGTTGAACAAATCGCATAATTACCAAAATACCCTTAATATATTTTATATAAATAACCTTTTCCATGACCTATCCATTAAATGTTTTTTATTCCCTATTCATTCGGCTTATAGAGCGCAGTTAGAGGAAATCAAGGGAAAAATAAAGGAGAGAGAAAAGAAGACATAGGATTTGGAGGTTGTAGAACGATTTTTGGTCATGTGTAAAAGTTGTTCATCTGAAGGTAAGCTACCATTATCCTGCCTTTGATTTCAATGATTTTATATATTTTGTATTTTATGAATTTTAATTTGATTAGAAAGTACAAAAGTTATGATATCATGATTTTTAGCATATTTTCACCGCATAAATTTTAGTATATGATAAACGACATCAAAATGATTATTTTGACTGAAACATATTAATTTTTCACTGGTATTTTTGTATTTTGAAGGAAATATAATAATTTGAGTTATTTGGATAAATTAGAAATATGAGAAATAAGTATATATATATATATATTTTAAAAACAATTTTATAAAATTTTCTAATTCAATAAATTTTTATATTAAAAAACTGCTTTAAAAAACAGTAAAAAAAACTATCCCGAACAAAATTTAAGTGTCTATACTGAGCAGATTAACAGACATTGATGATAATTTTCTGAATGTTGATAACAAAAGGCTCTCACTGAAAGAAGTGTTTCAGTTTGCTGAGTTGTTAACAAAATCAATGCAAGTCTGACAAGCGCAATCTGGGAAGCGACAGATCTCACAACCAAAGCAGACGCAGAGAGTGCAACCTTTGCACAAAGCAGTGCGCGAGCATCCTCTGATGGAGCGACGACTTGCGCGCTCTTCCTCATCATCACAATCATCAGAAGGCAGATCAGAGCATTTCCATTTGGCATCGAGCACAGCATCATGGTATATATATATATATATATATGACATTCAAACTTATTATAATATAGTTTTTATGGATACACACATATGAAAAAGAGTACACTATATTTTCTTATGAATTTCACTAATTTATGTTCATATGCAAATTCTACATCCATTAATATGATATAGTGAACTAAATATTGAGTGTGGTATAATATGTTTATTATGTTATATATATTATAAAATGTGTGTATGTAAGAAATATTGGCAAAAAATGATTGACTGATTCAGGTTGGCTGCAGGCATGTTACACTGTATAAAAGGATGGACCAACCAGATTTCTTTAAAAAAAAGATTTATTGTGTAATATTAATTTATATAAAAAGAGAGGCATAAAGAGACAAATTGCTATAGTATGATATGCCAATAATTTTAGGCTTTTTTTGACTAAAATTATAAATTTATATAATAAAAATGGGGATAACTTCACATATGCTTAAATTTCACCGTGTAACTTTTGATTTGTTATATGGACGAATGATTTAGGCATTTTAGTATTTTATTTGAAAAGTTTCAAGAGATAAATTAAAAAAAAATTGCTATTTTTAGCAATTTAAAAATGACTCTAACCTCAGAAATTTATGTTGTTGTACGATGAAAGCTGTAAAATAATAATTTAAATAATCCTTGATGATTATGTATAATTAAGAAAAATTGGAATTTCTACCTAGTTTGTTGAATATTTTGTGATATTGTGTTAAGATTATTTTATTTTTTTATCTAAAATGCAATTATAAATATGCTTATGTGCTTGAAATATATGATATTTGAGGGGTTCTTATGTGGGAGGAATCGTTGTGCGTTGAATGCACTAGGAGCTATAAGAGCCTAATTATAATATGAAAATTTTGAATATATATTGTGCTAAGCATTTAGGAGCTATGAAATTTTATTCTTTGATATACTAATATAGGGAGCTATAAGGGCATGAATTATAATATATTTTTCCATTGAGATATATAAGGATCTGAGAGAAATATATTAATTTATGTTCTGATATAAGAAGTGCTTGTTTAACTGTTTTGAGCAAAGTCTATTGAAGTCTTGTTACCTATTAACATGATTATGTTCAGTAGAGTAATTCATTCATAACTTCTTTCCTGTTTAGTTTAAATAAATGCTGGTTTTAATTAAAAATTGGAACAATTTGTGTGACTTACTAAGCTGTATTGACTCACACCTATTTTGTATTCTTTTTCAAGTCAGAGCAAGGATAAGGAACCAGTTGAGTAACTAAGGTTATAAGATCTAATAGTTTGATTTTGTATATGTATTTTTTAATTTTCTATTTTAATACATTCACAAGTAATTTTCTACTTTATTTTATCTATGTCCAAGTCATGTATTATATTATAGAGATTTATTGTATATACATTTTGAAGATGAATGAAAGAAAAATTATGGATGAGTATATTTTTTATTTATTAGAAGTTAAATAGCAGCTCTACTATCTATTGATAATTAAAGAAGTTTAGAAAGTTCTCTAAATTAGATCTTGGGCTTGGTCTGTTGCTATCCAACACGATATGAGATGTGATGTTTGTTGATTATATTAGGTTGGGTGGTGACACCTAGTATATAACATTTGATGAAAAAAAAAAAAAAAAGTTTACCTAGGATGAAGGATATGATGATGAAGAGATTCATAAGTTAGAGAATATATGTTTTGAGCTACCCCTACCAATAGCTATCAAAGGGACATCTCATATATTCGATTTATCTTTGAAGTGAAAATATTATTCTAGTCACCTAAGATCTAATAATAGAGGATTCATCACATGTTGTTAGAATTATAAGTGCATTTAGAGCAGAGGATTTTTGCTTTGGTTTTCTATGGTATATATTACAGTAGTTATGTTTGTTTCGTTTTATGACATTTGGAGATGTTTTTTTTTTCTAATGAAGTCGTTTACTTTTTTGGGTTGTGAAACCTTGGTTAAGGACATTTGGAACTTTTGTGATTTTAAGCTCTCTTTCCAAAAACTCTAACTTTGCATGAGAAACCAACCACCACCTCTTCTTGTAAAATTTTATTGGGGTCTTCTCTCATTGAAATCTTGATGAAATCAAGTAGCTTGCTTGCCTTGGGTTTGTCCTTCAATGTTCGATGGATAATTTTTCTTAATTTCTTTAAGTTGTCAAATATCTGCGTGCAAGAGCTTGAAATTTATTTTAAGTTGAGATTTCTATTATTTTATTTTTTTATTTGTTTGAGATGCTTTAGTTGAGGCTACTTGTTGAAAGTTGGAGCATGAGAGAGATAGAGAGGGGAGGATTTTTCTGAAAATATTTTGGAATATTCTTACTTTTTTTTTAAAATAATTTAGAGTATACACATCTTTAATTTCTTTTTCAAAAAGGATTTTGTACATTTAAAAGAAAAAGAAAAATAAGAAATCTAAAATATCACACAACGCATCTCACTTGCATAGTGCATATTTGTGCATGAATTCATTTTTATTTATTGTAAATATAAAAATAAAATAATCAAAATTTAGACAATATTCATTAAATTTAAAATAAAGGTCATTTTTCAATTACATTTGATAAAAATAATAATTGATTTAATAAAGCTTTAAAATCTCTTTAACTTCAAATAATCAAATGAGGCCTTCTTTTTAAAGCGCAGGTTAAGAGAGACCGAACGCATCGTCAGGTGACCTGATGCAATAATTTGCCCTCTTTTTTATCCTCGCTCGCTTGAGGAAGGGCTCATTCGCCTACTCTCCCACTTGTCCGTCACCGACATCCGGCGAGGCTGACATCTACACTACACACCACCCTTGTCCGTCCCAGCATTGCCCACAACCTGTTCGGCGAAATGCCCCACCTTCTCCTCAGAACCCAATAAAGCTCCATCCTGCAACTCAATCAGTACCTCGAGCACCTCCTTTATTGGCGGCCTCATTTCTCTATCTCCTTGCAGACATCGGAATGCAAGCTCCGCCACGAGATTCATCTTGTTCCTCGTTTCCACATCGGAATCATACCCAAGCTGCCGATCGACCAAGTCATCCAAATTCCCACTTTGAATCCTGTTAACGGCCAATGTCGATAGGTTTATCTCCGACCGCTCTCGGCATATATCAACAGCCGGTTTCGACGACAAGAGTTCGGCAAGCACCACGCCGAAGCTGTAGACGTCGCTCCGGTCTGTCAGCTGATAGCTACGGTGGTAATCTGGGTCGAGATAGCCCGGCGTGCCCTGCGGCGCGGTGGAAACATGGGTGGCTCCGTCGCGGGGAAATAGACGAGAGAGGCCAAAATCGGCGATTTTGACATGTAACTCCGCATCGAGTAGAATGTTCACTGTCTTGACGTCGCGGTGAACTATGGGCGGGTCGACGGCGTGGAGATAGCCGAGTGCGGTGGCGGTCTCGACGGCGATGGAGAGACGACGGGGCCACGTGAGGTGGCCTTCAGCGGCGCGGGGGCCGTGAAGATGGTCGGCAACGGTGCCATTTGGGACGAATTCGTAAACGAGGAGAAGCTCGCGGCTTCTGGGGGAGGTGCAGCCGTAGAGAGAGACTAAGTTTTGATGGCGGAGGCAGGAAAGTATCACAATCTCGTTGGCGAACTGTTCGACTCGCTTGAAGTTTTTCTCATAGAGGCGTTTCACCGCCACGGTGCGGCCGTCGCGGAGCGTTCCTAAGGTGGAGGAATTGAAAAAAAAGGTGAGATTTTTAAGTAACGGTTGGTTGGAAAGATGAAGCATGGGTATCATTAGATTTTAATTACCTTTGTAGACTGCGCCGAAGCCGCCATCGCCAACTTCCATGGCGGTGTCAAAGGCGTTGGTGGCTTCGTGGAGCTCTTCGTACGAGAAGACCTGGGTTTGGTAAGGGTAGTGGGTGTGATCGGAAGCTCTGTTGGAGAATGGATGTCTGGGAATGGAGGAATGGTGGGACAATAGGGTGGAGGAAGAGGAGCACTGCCGCTTTTGTCGTAGCCGGAGATGCCACCAGAAGCCTATGAAGCTTAGGATGCTTATAAAGAGGATGCCGGCGGCTATGGACACACCTGGTATTGTTTTAAAAAAAAGTTATTTTGGGGGAAGTTAATCTTCTTTCATAGCAATATTTGGGAGGAGAGATTATTCTGTCCGGATATCAAACACAATTTATTGTCTGAAGATTAACTAAAATACGCTACTTCAGTGGTATCGAGTACCGAGTCGCGGTACTGAGCAGTACCAAGCCGGGTACCGAATAAGGGTGACGTAGCGCATTTTGGTTGATCTTTAGATGATATTCGGTGTCCGCACATAATAATTTTTATGAGAGGGAAGAGTATAAAAGGGTGACCAAGTTTTCTACTCAACAGCTGTATATTCATATAAAGCGACAAGGTGCAGTTTCAGAATTTTATTTCCTTCAGTTTCCTTTCTGGATTGACGTCTCTGGTAAGTCTTTAATTTAAGCTCCAATTTTTATTTCTTTCTTTCACAACAACGTTCATTCCACAAAGAAACCTACTCGATTTGTTCCTCTTATTATTATTACCTTCAAAAGTGAAATTATGGACTAGTGATTTGTCCTAACTACTAAATAAAAGCAAGCTTTTGACTTGTTCAATTCCAAGTATTAAAATTCTAAACATAAAGTTATGCAAATGATCAAGAAGAGATTGCAACCAGTAGAACTCACCAATTATAATCCTTCTGTTGTTCTTCTTCCTCCCTGCATTAATAAATGATAAATCTTTTCACAAAATAATAAAAATCGAATTTTTCACAAAATAACAAAAATCTAAGCGAAAATCTTTAAAAGAAGTAAGAAAGCTCTAAGAAAGAAGAAATCCAGAAAAACAGGAGCCAAATCTTATGCAGATCAATAAAACATGAATCATATAACAACATAAAAAAAAAATTGAAGCAAAAACTCATCAACGGAATTAACAAAGCCTAAAGAAAGAAGGAACTCATAAAGCCAGCAGCTAGATCTTTCACAAATCATAGTATTTATTGATGTAAATAGCAAATTCAAGAAAAGAAACATGATGCAGTAACTATTCTTATCAGGATACCCTCGCAATTGCTCCGGCATTGGCAGGAGGAATCTCCTGCAACTCCACTGCAATTGCTTGAAGCAGCAAATTCACAACTAAAACAATCCTGCCGTTTTGTCCACTCTGGAGAAAATCCGGCAGCGATCAAAGCTGTTTCTCCTCCATCCTCTCCTCCACCAAAGGAGAGCTTCCAATGGAACCCAGGATTACTGTAATTTCTGCAATGAATGGGAAAATCAGCAATGTTTGGATGACCAAAATCGCCAGAGTAATGGAGTTTGTAGTCTTTACATAGACTGAGATTATTTTTTAAAAGAAATATATCTGAACTGAAATCATAGTCTTGTTTGCAATTGAAGAAGGATTCACCAGACTGCAGGGAGATTGAAAAGGAATTGAAAGCAAAATCTGGAATTGGGAATTCAAAATCATAAAGGAATATACAGGATCTCCTGTAGTAAGCGCTGAGATTAATATCATGGATTATGATGGATTTGTCATCATAGGAGATGTTTGTTATTGGGTATAAGTAGCTGGTTCCTGTAAAATGTACAGTTGGAACACGATTCAAGCACTGGATGTAATGAAGGCCTGAGCATTGATTGAATGATTGGGATGTGAAGAAAGGGAATTCGATATCAAGTGTTTTTTTTCCACAGGTAAATTTTTGTGAAGGGCAGGAACTGGAAATGAAAGGAATAATAGAATGTATGATGGTGAGGAAGAGTGGGAAGAAGAAGGAAGAAGACATTAGAACAGAAAAAAGAAGAAAAATTTGTTAGCATGTGAATCCTGGAAAATACAAAAAATTTCAGAGAAATGTTATTATATGGGAGGCTCTACTTTAGAAAACATACGAAAGAGCACGCATGACTAGTTCAGAAAGGGGCTTAAAAAAAAGATTATTTTGATATAGGAATGGTTAGAAGATATAAAGTAATGTTTTTTTTTTTTGTAGATTATGATAAGAACGTTTGATTAAAAAATGGTGTTCATCATAAGAAAAGACTTTTGTCTCGTAACTCAAAGGGGCTGTTTGTAGTTAGATTTGAGGCGGATTTGAGCGAAATTCAGCCAAACGGTCTAAAATGCAAAACCAAATCTGACGGCAAATGAAAGCTGTTGTAGACGGAAAATTCTACCTTTTCGTGCTAAATTCCGGATTTTCGAAATTCTGTTTTTTGCCGGATTTATGAAATATGTTGGCTCGAGAGGAAGAGTCCGCTCGTTAAATGCATTCTATAGCCAAACAGTCACACAGGATTTAATAGGATTTATCATGAATATTACCAAACAGTTTTCAGAATTTAGGCCCCTCAGGATTTCCAAAATCCGAATTTAGCGGATTTACAAAATCTTAATTAAATCAAATCCTGGGTGCTGTCAAACAGCTCCAAAGAGTACCTGGATCTCTTATTTTTGTTTAATTGTCATATTTTAGCTTCGGTCTTGTACTGTGCCCAAAATAGACCATCTACTTCTGCTAAACATGAGAAAGCATGATTGGGAATCTTGGGATCATAATTCTTCTTCTTATTAAGCCCGAATCCTGATGGTAAACCCAAACACTTAAGAAACAAAAAAAAAAAAAAAAAAAAAAAAAAAAAAGAATCATTATGTTTTGAAATATATTTAGAAGACCAAATGTTTTATTTTTTTTTACAAAATTATAGTTAAAAAGATTGTATTAGCATCACAATTATTATGATACCAAAATCACTAGAATTTGATCATGTTTGGATCATGAATAGGCTGAATAAATTTGAAATGGACTATATCGTTATGATTTAGGATGCCAATCAGTCACCCTACTCCCTCATGAGTAGGAGGACATACAAGCGGCTTGCCTTAGGTTAGTAATGGCTGCTTGTTTCCATCGCCACTTTAGCCGGCCAAGGGGCCAAGCAATCGACCCCTAGCATCTTCTTGTCGCAAGCATCTCATTTGTGATATCTAGTTGTGTGTTAAGCAACAATACATTCCTTTGGATGCACATATGAGACAAAAATAATGTGAAGAATGGACCCGTTATTCAGAAGAATAAGCTCAGGACAACAATTCAAAGCATTCAAATCATATCGTGTACAACCGGTCTAAAAATCGGTCTAATGTGTGAACCAACCCATGGTTTTTATAAGAAATAAGCCCTTAGTTGTTGGGTTATTATTGTAATTTGGTTTATTGATATTAGAGCTCAGAGATATATTATAACTGTATCTTATTATTTCCACATATATTGTACTGGATGATGAGGTGGAAGTTTATTACTGGCTCTCTTGTTATTGAGCCGTACCTCTCTCTGTCTATATAATACGTTGTATCCTTATCGTGGAATACACATTAGATAACATTCTTCTTCTTCTATATATGTATCTTGCTTTTCAAGATCTGTCTTCTATACTCTGGTTTCTACATGGTATCAAGAAAGTGTTTATAGATCCTGCTCCATGGAAAATTTCGCCTCCTCCCAGCTCGACGAGCACCTTGATCAGCCGACCACCGAAGATCCGTTCATCCCATCTACTCTGAAGTTTGTCGTTTCTAATCTCAAGAACTTCGTCACGATTCAACTTGCTCCGGACAACTACTCCATCTGGAAATCTCAAATCCTCAAGATCTTTCGAGCCAATGGCTTCCAAAGCTTTCTTGATCCAAACTCTTCTCCTCCAGCACGGTCTCTGCCGAATCAAGATGGTTCGTCTTCCTCTAACCCCATTTACTCTCAATGGATTCTTACCGATCAAAATCTTTCCACATCGATCTGTTCGACTATTTCTCCATCAATTTTACCTCATGTCATTTTCCTTGAATCCAGCACTGCGATTTGGAGGGCCTTAGAAACTAGATTTCAAGCTACTAACCAGTTAAAAGTCATTCAACTTAAGAATGAACTTCATAATGTTTCTCTCAAGAACTCCACTATGACTCATTATCTTACCGAAAACAAATCTTTGGTAGATCAAATAACAGCCGCCGGTTCTGTGGTTGACACCAAATATATAATCCCTTACATCGTCAACGGTCTTCCCCCCTCCTATCAATCCTTCAAAATCGCTATTAGAACCATGCTCACGCCTATTATTCTTGATCAACTTTATCCCCTTCTCCTAAGTGAAGAAATTAATCTCGCGTTGGATGCCACTCGATCTATTCCTGTCACTAACCCCAACACCGCTTTGTTTACATACAGAGGGAGAGGCTGCCAGAATCATGGAAGAAACTCTTCCAATATCGCCGGCTCCTCTCGGCCCACAGCCAATGCTAACATCATTTGTCAAATTTGTTACAAGAAAGGACACTTGGCGCAATCTTGCTGGCACCGATTAAGTGCCCAATACACTATGTATCCAAGAACAGTTCACAAAGCGCTAATAGCCAATTCAGACAATACTGACGCTAATATGTGCTTGGATTCAGGGACCTCATCGCATCTCACAAACTCTCTTGACAACTTGTCTATCTCCACTCTATATAAAGGATCTGATAACATCACGATTGGTGATGGGAGCTCCGTCAACATCGTTCATGCCGGGGAAGGAATCCTAACGATTCCGTCTCGTAAGCTGCACTTGTCTCAAATTTTACATAATCTATCTCTTCATTATAATATATTATCCATATCTCAACTAACTAAAGATAACAACATTTCAATTATCTTTGATCCCTCCGGTTTTACCTATAAGGACATGAAGATGCAGCAAGTCATTCTTTGAGGACCGTGTAATGGGGGTCTATACACTATTCGATCGGTTCATCATCACATCAACATCAAGCATTATCTGCCTCTACTTCTTCGCTCAATTCTTGGCATCACAAACTCGGTCATTCGCACAAAAGAATCTTCGATCTTATCTTTAGTTGTAATCCTTGTCTCAATATATGAAAGCATTCTTTTAATTGTCAATCTTATAAAGCATCAAAATGTCACAAACTTATGTTTGAACATTCTAAAAACTGTCAGCATTCTCTTCTTGCCCTCATTCACTCTGATGTTTAGGGCATAGCTCCCACTGTATCCTCTCAAGGATAAAAATACTATGTAATCTTCGTTGACGATTTTCTAGATTTACGTGGCTATTTCCACTACGACAAAAATCTGATGTTCTCAATACTTTCATTAATTTTAAAAATCAGGTGGAAAAATATACTTCAAATCAAATAAAAACCATAAGAACTGATGGCGGCACTGAATATGTTAACCATGCGTTTACCAATTATCTTCGCACTCATGTATTATGCATCAACTTTCCTGCTCGTATACTCCGGAATAAAATGGGCTGGCAGAGAGAAAGCATAGACACATTATTGAGACCACTAGAACGCTTGTTCTCATGGCTTCAATTCCCTACACATACTGGCCCGATGCAGTGTTGACATCGGTCTACCTTATCAATAGAATGCATTCATCTCAAACTCATTCATAACACAAAACCTGATGCAGTGTTGACATCAGTCTACCTACGAAAAATAACTTATCTCCCTTCGAACTCATTCATAACACAAAACCTGAATACATTTATCTCAAAATTTTTGGTTGTGAATGTTTTCCTCTCACTCTGCCTCACTCTCGTCACAAACTTCAACCGAAAGCTAAACTCTCTGTTTTCTTAGACTACTCTGACATATATAAAGGCTATAAATGCCTAGATCTTCATACTAACAAAATCATCATATCTCGGCACACTACTTTTAACGAGATAGTGTTTTCGTTTTCAAATCTCTCTCCTACTCCTATTACTATTAACACTAACACATCACCTCTGCTTCTAACTCCGGTCTCGATTTCACATACTATTACTTCGGCTAAACTGCACCAACCTTGCAATATCATAAGACCAATCTCTAATCCTTCTCACCATGCTACTCCTGTTTTATCTCATAGCAATCAGATCACTCAATCGGCTACTTTCCAGCCATCCATTACCTCTAACTTACCATCTCATCCGATGATTACTCGCAGTAAAATAGGTTCTCTTAAACCCACAAACCATTAAATCTTTTGCACAAACAAACTTCTCCCAATCTTCCTTCGGATCCAACAACGTATTCATATGATGTTAAGAAATTTGAATGACGTCAAGCCATGGCTACAAAATTTCTTTCTCTTCAAAAGCAAGGAACTTGGAGTCTAGTTCAGCTGCCAATAGATGCATCTGTTCTGGGATGCGAATGGACTTACAAAACAAAATTTCACCCAGATGGTTTCGTGGAAAAATACAAGGCAAGGTTGGTTGCTCAGGGTAATAATCAAGAATATGGATTGGACTATATGGAAACTTTCAGTATGATGGAAAAATTACCAATAACGCACATACTTTTGGCAGTTGCTCTTTATAATGACTGGTAGGTTCAACAATTAGATGTGGAAAATGTGTTTCTTCATGGAACTTTATCCGAGATAGTCTATATGGTTCAACCAAAAAAGTTCGAAGACAACTCTCGTCCTGAATATGTCTGTCGTCTTCACAAAGCTACTTATGAATTAAAACAAGCACCAAGACAGTGGTACAACATGTTCACATCGTATCTTGTGTCACTTGGCTTCTCGCACAGCCAATCAGATCCATCATTGCTTATCTATCACAAGGCAAATGTTCAAATTTTTCTCCTCATATATGTTGGCAACATTCTTATAACCGGAAATGATCAGGTTATCATCAATAATATCCTAGCTCAGCTTAGAAAAGAATTTTCATTGAAACATCTAAGGGAAGCTAATGAATTTCTTGGAGTAAAGATAACCTGTCTCCC